TAAATAGATAGATAAATAAATGAAAAATAAAATCAGTGAGGCTAAAAATGATAAGAAACCAATAAAACCAGAAACAAATGCAACAAAAGAATAAAGGAGGGAAGGAAAAAGAGGAAAGAAGAAGGGAAACGAGAGAGACAGAGAGCAAAGGTGTTTCATGGCTTCAGTTTATAAATATTTCGCGAAACAAATTTGCAACTTGATTTAGATCTTTAAAGGGAGAATGGAAGGAGGGAGGGAGAGGGGAGGGAGAGAGGAGAGGGAGGGAGGGAGGAGGAGGAAAGGGAGGGAGGAAGGGGGAGGGAGAGAAAGAGAGAGAGGGGGAGGAGAGAGGGAGGGAGGGGGAGAGAGGAGAGAGGAGAGGAGGAGAGGAAAGGAAGAGAGAAAGAGAAAGAGAGAGAGAGGGGGAGTGGGAGGGAGGAAAGGAAGAGAGAAAGAGAGAGAGAGGGGGGGAGGGAGGGAAGGAGAGAGAGAAAGAGAGACAGAGAGAGAGAGAGAGACCAAGACAGTGGCATTCAAGCAGACAGACACATTGGCTTACATATATATATAAACGTATGTGTGTGTGTGTGTGTGTGTGTGTGTGTGTGTGTTTGTGTGTGTGTATATATATACAAAAATATATAGAGATAGATAGATAGATAGACAGATAAATATAGGTATAGATATACGCACAGAGAAAGAGCTCGTGAATTTCTGCAGTGAACCTTCATAAAAAAGAAAGAAAGAAAAAAGCAAGCATAACAGATGAAATAACATACTCCCTCGACAGTCCGTTGTTTCTTTATAATTCCTCATATCCGGCTCGCTGTTACCTTCCTCATCTCACATTTCTTTTCTTTCTTTCTTTCTTTTCTTTCTTTCTTTCTTTCTTTCTTTCTTTCTTTTTCTTCTTTTTTTTTTTTTGCCGAAACGCGCGGTCGAAAGATGAAAGAGGAAAATAACAAATGCGTTTTTTTTTTTTTTTTTGCTGATTTCGTTATCTAATCATACGCAGAAGGTCATTAACAAGGAATTTATTTGCAAATATCTTATCAAGGTCTTTGAAAAAAAATGATAATGTATATATATATATATATATATATATATATATATATATATATATATATATATATATATATATATATATATATATATATATATAATCACATCTGATTTTCTCTTTCTAAATATTCAAAATTCTCCTTTTTCTTTTCCTTTTCTTTTTTTTTTCTTTCTGCGTTATGTCAGGGAAATGGAGATGGCTTAGCACAGTGGCTGAGCGCTGGCTTTGCAATCCTGCTTCTTAAAAAAAAGACTCACTTTTGAGTAAAATCTAGTACTAGCTTCGGTTAAATGAATACTGGCATTAGCTATATATATATATTACACACACACACACACACATGCACACATGCATGCACACACACGCACGCACACAGTCTCACACACACGCACTCACTCACACACGCATTTATACATGTACATATATATACATATATATATATATATATATATATATATATATATATATATATATATATATATATATATACATATATATATATATATATATATATATATATATATATATATATATATATATATTTATACACACTCATACATATGTATATATGTTGATAGTATCCATAACAGAGACTGGATTTCCCTCCGCCTAAAACCCCGAGGGAGCAGAGCAGTCCCCCAGGCCATCAGATCCAGATATGGAAACGGCTTCAGTAACTCGAAATCGCATTTGAATTCCCAGGTAACTCTTGGCAATTGCTTCCGGGCATCGTCTGTAAAACCTCGCTGTCACGCTCTAGGAGATAGAGTTGGTTTCTAGGACGCCTGAGGAGAGTATGGCTCGACAGGTGGTTCTTGAAAGTACTTCGTGTTTTCCGGTAGTTAAGGTTCGTGTTTTCTGTGTATATATATATATATAATATATATATATATATATATATATATATATATATATATATATATATGTATATATATATATATATATATATATATATATATATTATATATATATAATATATATATATATATTTGTGTATATATATACATACATACATACATACATACATATATATATATATATATATATATATATATATATATATATATATATATATATATATATATATATATATATGTATATATACTTCTGAAAATAACAAAAGAAACAGGATTTCGTTGCTACATTTTTGTATTTCCTGGTCGCTCTCTTTTTTCTTTCTTTCTTCTTTCTTTTCTTGCGACCCTTATCCTCTCCTCCCCTCCATCTCGCTTCTCCGCCCGCGCAAATATCAGGATAATCCTTTTATCCTTCCTCTCCTTCCTCCACAATTCCCACCATTATTACCTCTGTCCATTTCCATTCGTCTTTTCACTTCCCGTTTTCTATTTCAAGGGCCCACTCCATTAAACGCGAACCACCACTTCAGCGCACGTCTCCCGCAAGCGCACTTTAACCACGCTGTCCCGTCGACGCGGAAGCTATCATGCGCCTAAATTACCTTCACAGCTCTTGCCTTCCGTTGCCTGTGAAGCATCTGTCTGTTGCATAACCAGAAGCGGCTGTTGCGGTGATTGTGTTGGGTCGGCGTTTATGATTTAGCGGCGACGGTTCTGGGTCAGCTGTTAAGGGGTTTAACGTGTTTAGGAAGATATGGGTGTAAATATATATATATATATATATTATATATTATATATATTATATATATATATGATGTGTGTGTGTGTGTGTGTGTGTGTGTGTGTGTGTGTGTGTGTGTGTGTGTGAATTGAATTTTAAATTATTGTGTAATAATCGAGCAAATTTAGCCATTACCCCTCAAACAATATATGACTACGTATAGGCTGAAGACATTTCAAAAATTGAGAATTGACCATGTCTGATATTTTGAGAGCTTGACGACCTCCGGATTCGGAAAGGCTATTGTAGATAAACACATAGATTTCCATTGCACTGAAAAAACACCATTAACATAGAATCCTTCCCGATAAACACCACATATTTCTCTTTTCAACTCTTTATTAAAAATCTACATCATAACAAGATCTCTTTCTGTTCCAAAACAACATCAAATTATTCTCTAATCCTATAAAAAGCTTACGGGGGACACATAACATTAGATAATTCCTAGGAAATAAGTAGAAATGAAAAAAGCAGATCGATATATCAAAATATGTAGATATATATCACCACTGCTTATCTTGGGCGAAAACCACCTCCCTCCAACGACCACCTGACCTTGAGAAAATGATCTTGAATCCTGCACATCTCATCAGCTGTAGATAAGGCCAGAAGACTTGGTGGGACGTTATCTGGCTCACGGAATCCTCTGTTGGGGGAGGGGGACAGAGGGAGGGATGGGGGAGTTAGAGGCATCGTCTGGAATAGTGTGGTGAGGATGTATATTTTTTTCTTTTCTCTTGCTGTCTGTCTGTCTTCCTCTTTTCCTCTCTCTCTCTCTGTCTGTCTGTCTGTCTGTCTCTCTCTCTCTCTCTCTCTCATCCACCTGGACACACACACACACAATCTCTCTCTCTCTCTCTCTCTCTCTCACTCACTCACTCAACAGTATATTTTGTGATTCTGTGTCTGTATTTCCAGATATACGGAAGATGTGTCATAGCATGGCAATAGATATCCAGTGTGAGTATGTCATGTCATGGCAAAAGAAACCAGTGTTTATGAGTGTCACGTCAGAGCAAGAAAACCCCTATGTATGTGTATTTCATATCTTGGCAAAAGAGACCCTAAATATATAAGTGTCATATAATAGCCAGAGAAATCCAGTGTTTAAGAGTGTCACATCTTGGCCTGTGAAATCCAGTGTGAAAATGTGTCATAATGTCATAGAAAACCTATGTATATGCGTGTGTCATGTTGTGGTAATAGAAACCCTATGTATATACGAGTGTCTCATCAATGCAAGATAATTCCTATCTATATGTACATGTCATATCCAGAGAATTCCGGAAACGTGTCATACCAAAGCCAAAAAATCCTATGAAAAATCCTTAAATCACATCACATCAAAGAGTATCATATCAAGGTCATATGAAAAAACTCATATCACACCACAGCAAAAAAAAAAAAAAAAAAAAAAAAAAAAAAAAAAAAAAAAAAAAAAAAAAAATCCCCATACTCGTTAAATCCGAGTGAATCTCCATGGCGATCTGCTTGACGTTCCTCAGCACGTGGCGCGAGTTGAAGAGCATATCCTGCATGAAGTCGACCTCGGAGAGCTCGACGTCCAGCTTCACGACGTCAATGGGCTTCCCTTCCATGCCCGCGTCCTTGACCAGGTTCTCGAAGCGGTCCACCTGTCGGGGAGGGAGGGAGGAGGTGGGAGAGGTCGAGAGGCTCGGAGGAAGGGAGGGAGGAGGTGGGAGAGGTCGAGAGGCTCGGAGGAAGGGAGGGAGGAGGTGGGAGAGGTCGAGAGGCTCGGAGGAAGGGAGGAAGTGCGGCGTGTGGGTGGGGTGAGGAGGATGGGGGTCGTGTGTGGAGGTGGTGGTGGTGGGGAGGTGTGGTTGGGGTGAGGAGGATGGGGGTCGTGTGTGGAGGTGGTGGTGGTTGGGGAGGGGTGTGGTGTGTGGTTGGGGTGAGGAGGATGGGGGTCGTGTGTGGTGGTGGTGGTGTTGGGAGGGGTGTGGTGTGGGGTTGGGGTGAGGAGGATGGGGGTCGTGTGTAGTGGTGGTGGTTGGGGAGGGGTGTGGTGTGGGGTTGGGGTGAGGAGGATGGGGGTCGGTGTGGTGGTGGTGGTATGTATATATATATACATATATATATATATATATATATATATATATATATATATATACATTATTAGTTATTAGTTATTTTATTTATTCTTTTTTATTTATTTGTTTATCATTTTTGTGTAGTTACAGATAAAAATTTCACACACACATATGTATTAGAAATATGTATATACATGTATGAATGAATATATATATATATATATATATATATATATATATATATATATATATTGTTGTTGCTTTTAACAGCAGAATCGTCGTACCTTGCACCCGAATCTCCCTAAACTATCCTCGAAGGAGAAGTCGTAGTTGATCCCGAAGGAGAAGGCGAGGCAGTTGTTCTTACTGATCTTGAATTTCTCGTCAAGACAAATATTCCTGCGAGATGAGGATTTTCCGAACATTTTCTGGAGAAGGGAACACGGTCAGTAAAGGCGGAGGATACGTTCCCTACATGAACGTGTGGGTGAATGTGTATGTAGTCGTGCAGTGATGCCAAAGAACAAATAAATCTATACCTTTGATTTACTTTTAAGTATTTCTTATAAGTAAATGAATTGATTTACTTTTAAGTATTTCTTATAAGTAATTGATAGATAAAGAAACTGACAGAGAAATGCCAGGCCCACTTCAAATTTCAAAGTACTAAATCATAGTCACATTTCTCTTTGTTCACACACGATTAAGTTTCATTTACTAAACGAAAAAAAAAAAAAAAAAAAAAAAAAAAAAAAAAAAAATGCATGGACACCATTAATACTCCTATATGTCTTTTCCATATCCTAAGGCCCTAAGACCGTGGTTCCAAACCTTTCTCTTTCTGTGGCCCCCGAACATGTAATAATCTCCATGGTCCCTATATATGGTCATGGTCGCTATAGTCAGTAGCTATAGGACAAGAACACTTTAAAGAAAAGATTCGAATTCATTGATATGCGAGAGATGATCATATGCAGATACTGTAGGTGATATAAAATTCAGTTTAATTCGATGTCAAGATTTTCATATTGCTCCATGCCCCCCCCCCCCCCCCGCCCTAAGACGAGGAAAAAGTGAAGAAAGTTTCAAAAGAAAATTTTCAATGTCTTCGTGCACCTCCCTGTTCCTTTTTTCCCCATATTTTCTTCCTTTTACCTTTTCCCACACCATATATGCGTCTTCTGGATTGCAAGTGATAACTTCAACGCTTGGAATATCATGCAACTTACCGGTTTGTCGCATCCCATCTCGACAGTCGTCACAGCTTCGTAAAACTGACTGAAATTCCGCAAAGCTGGCATGGGGCAAGATATTTCTTTCTCGACCGTGACTATCTTCTCCTCACACTCAGTGGCTGTTGGTAAGACATAGTTAGTCAAAGCCTCTTCGATCTACGTAAGACAAAGACTAGGATAAAGGACAAATGACTTAAACAATAATAATGTTAGTAAAGGAATGATAAATAGAATAAAAAAAAGTTATGAAATAGGACATGACATGAAGAGACGGCATTTCAACAGAGCAGCCATGTTCAGTAATTTACATAAAAATAATAACAATAATTTACAACGAAATTCATTATGGCGACGTACTTTGATCCCGAGGACTGTGTGTCGCTATACTGAAAACAAAACAAAATAAAATAAACAGTTGTATTAAAACCATATTCATTGGTACGTCAACAAACAATGTTACATAAATATTTGTACATGATCCATGCCTAATATTGGGCAAAATATGTTATAATCAAAATTACATGAATTAAAAACATAATGCATATCTAATCCATTCTTTAGACGAGAAACAGTAGCTTATAAACAGACGAAAGAATCATAAAATTTCAGTTCCGAAAGACAGATGAGATTAGGCAAGATGAGAACATCAGTAACAAAGGCTTGCACTGTTCTTTTTTTTTTCTCTCTCTTTTCTTATTTTTCCTGAGAGTTGTTCATTCAGGATGTGTGAGGTTCTCTTCCACGCAATCAGACTGGAACCAAACGTAACTCAAAGCAACATTGAAAGAAGGGCAAAATAAGCAGCCACATGCGCCTGACATATTGTTCTTATTCTATGCAGGGTCGCAGCGATGGAGTTCCTTTTAAACAATCACATGTTATCATGTGCGTAACAGGTAAGTTTTACCACTCTAAGGCACAGATAAGATATTTGAAGAAAGATAAAAACAGTAGTAACTAAAGCCTACAGTTTTAAGGAAGCTCTAAAAGATATATAAGATACCAGTAACTATGGTCTACAGTTTTAAGGAAACTCTAAAAGGTAGATAAGATATTTGAGGAAAGATAAGAATACCAGTAACTATAGGTTAGTTTTAGGAAAATGTTTTGCAGAGATAAATGGTTTTCACAATCAAGAATATTGAAGGGCTTATTGCACATCAATTTACCTGTGATTTTTTTTTTTATCGTAATAGGAATAATAAAGAAGGTTGGAAGTTTCTACTTTTAAGAGAGAGAGAGAGAGAGAGAGAGAGAGAGAGAGAGAGAGAGAGAGAGAGAGAGAGAGAGAGAGAGAGAGAGAGAGAGAGAGAGAGAGAGAGAGAGAGAGAGAGAGAGAGACAGAGAGAGAGAGAGAGAGAGAGAGAGAGAGAGAGAGAGAGAGAGAGAGGAGAGAGAGAGAGAGAGAGAGAGAGAGAGAGAGAGAGAGAGAGAGAGAGAGAGAGAGAGAGAGAGAGAGGAGAGAGAGAAGAGAGAGAGAGAGAGAGAGAGAGAGAGAGAGAGAGAGAGAGAGAGAGAGAGAGAGAGAGAGAGAGAGAGAGAGAGAGAGAGAGAGAGAGAGAGAGAGAAAGAAAGAGAGAGAGAGAGAGGAAGAGAGAGAGAGAACCAAAGACAGAAAGAGAGAGACAGACATACAGACAGACAAAGAAAGCCCAGGCACATTTCAAATTATTTCAACGTACTTTATGACTTTCACATAACTTTCACTTCCATTTACTAAACGAAACAAAGAATTGCATAAACACCATTAATACTCCTATATCATTTAAGTCTTAGTCAGCTATCTGGCCACTAAACTCACATTAAACTATTACATTAACTGAGATGTACAAGTGTAGAAATAACACATTCCATAATTAAATTCATTAATCTAAGGTTAATGAAATGCGCCATCAATCGTGTGGATAAAATCAATAACCCCCCCCCCCCACTAAATAACAATATATAAAGTGTATGTTTGTCTTTGCGATTCTGTATATGCATGTGCGTGTGCGTGTGTATGATTTTATGTGTATATGTGTAAGAGAAAGATAGAGAGAGAGGGGGGGAGGGGATAGAGAGTTCCAATACCAATATTACTTAGGACACATAACTTCACTCCTCCTTTGGCCTCTCGTTCCTCTCCAATTACTGTCTGTTGGTAACAAGTGTTCAGACCTCCCCCACCCCCCACCCCACTCCCACAAAGAAAACGCTTTGTTTTGCCCTGTTCATCATCCTCTTGTAAGTCTCTCATTTACAATGTATCATCCATTATATAGTGTGGAGCTGGATTTTAAACTTGTATACTTTTGCTTGCACTAGCCTCATATTGGATGTTGGGGATAATCTTTCTCTTGCTCTCTCTCTCTCTCTCTCTCTCTCTCTCTCTCTCTCTCTCTCTCTCTCTCTCTCTCTCTCTCTCTCTCTCTCTCTCTCTCTCTCTCTCTCTCTCTCTCTCTCTCTCTATCTATCTATCTCTATCTTCTCTTGATCTTTCTTCTCTTTGATCTTTCTCGTACTCTCTCTCTCTCTCTCAATCTCTATCTATTTCTCTCCTCTCTTTCTTTCTCTCTCTCTCTCTCTCTCTCTCTCTCTCTCTCTCTCTCTCTCTCTCTCTCTCTCTCTCTCTCTCTCTCTCTCTCTCTCTCTCTCTCTCTCTCTCTCTCTCTCTCTCTCTCTTGATCTTTCTCTCTTCTCAAATTCTCTACGCTCTCTCTCTCTCTCTCTCTCTCTCTCTTTCTTTTTTCGCTCTCTCTCTCTCTCTCTCTCTATTTCTCTCTATCTATCTATCTATCTCTCTCTCTTTCTCTTGATCTCTCTTTTTCTTTTTCTCTCTCTCTTCTCTCTCTCTCTCTCTATCTCTCTCTCTCTCTCTCTCTCTCTCTCTCTCTCTCTCTCTCTCTCTCTCTCTCTCTCTCTCTCTCTCTCTCTCTCTCTCTCTCTCTCTCTCTCTCTCTCTCTCTCTCTCTCTCTCTGTATATAATATATATATATATATATATATATATATATATATATATATATATATATATATATATATATATATATGTATATCAATCTACCTATCTATCTATATATGTTTGTGTATGTGTGTTCACACACACACACACACATACACACGCGTGTGTGTATGTGTATGCATTTGTGTGTGCCTATGTTTGTGTGTGTGTTTGTGTTTGTGTGTGTGTGTGTGTGTGTGTGTGTGTGTGTATGTGTGTGTGTGTGTATGTGTGTGTGTGTGTGTGTGCATGTGTGTGGGTGTGTATATCCTGTGCGCGAGCGTGAGTGTATGTGTGTACGTATATGTGTGCGCGCGTGTGTGTGTGTGTGTAAATAAGAGACACTTGCCACTACACTGAGAACCATTCGTTATACAGTGAGAAAGAGATTTACATGATAAACAGAACCCAAAGAGAAAAAGAGAGAAAAAAAAGTGTGTGTATAGGTGTAAACATTGCTTATATTTATAGAAGACAGAGGCAGAGAGACAGACACACACACAGCGTGAGAAAAGGAGACATGAGAAAGGGGAAGAGAAATACAGAGAGAAACAGTGATGCCGATGAGCGAAAAGGTGAGAGAAATTGATGAATGAGAGTGAGAGAGAGAGAGAGAAAATGAGAAAGAGTGAGAGATGAGGAAGAGTAAGAAAGAGAGAGAAAGAGTGAGAAAGAGAGAGAACGATGAGCAAGAGAGAGAAACCAATATATGAGAGAGAGAGACAGAGAATGAGAAAGAAAGAGAATGAGAGAGAGAGAGGAAAGACGAAAAGGAAGAAGAGAAAGACCTCAAAACCAGACAGACAGGGACAGAGAGGAAGATATAAAGAGATAAAGAGAGCCAGAGGGAGGAAGAGAAAGAATTTGAGAGAAAGAGGTAAAAGGGAACACGCACACCTGTGTTTTCTGTTATGGGGTGGGGGGGGGGGTCAGAACACTTGTTGCAGAGACTGGGCGGGGTATAGTCGGGATTTTTTTTTTCTCTCTCTATCTCTTTCCTCTTCTTCTCTCTCTCTTCTCTCTCTCTCTCTCTCTCTCTCTCTCTCTCTCTCTCTCTCTCTCTCTCTCTCTCTCTATATGTATATACGTATATATGTTATATATATAATATATATATATATTATATATATATATATATATATATATATATATGTGGTGTGTGTGTGTGTGTGTGTGTGTGTGTGTGTGTGTGTGTGTGTGTGTGTGTGTGTGTGTGTATACATATATACATACACACACACACACACACACACACACACACACACACACACACACACACACCCACACACACATATATATAATATATATATATATATATATATATATATATATATATATATATATATATATATATATATATATATATATATATATATATATATATATATATATATATACATATATATATATATTATATATATATATATATATATATATATATATATATATATGTACATATATATATATATATATATATATATATATATATATATATATATATATATATGTTCGTGTGTGTGTGTGTGTGTGTATGTATGTATATATACACACACATATATATGTGTGTGTGTTTTTTTTTTTACTTCCCCATGCACGAACAGCATGAAGCTATTCCTTCATTCATATTACTGTAAATTGAAAGTCAATCCGAGATTCCGAATAAGATAACTAATAGCCAAATACTAATAGACAAAGAGAAATAGCCAAATAGTCCAATAGTTATAGCCAAATACTAATGGCCGAAGATAAATAGCCAAATACAAATAGCCACCAAATAGTAATAGCCAAAGACAAATAGCCAGATAGTAATAGCCAAATAGTTACAGCCAAATAGCAATAGCCAAATACTAATGGCCAAAGACAAATAGCCAAATAGTTATAGCCAAATAGTAATAGCCAAAGACAAATAGCCAAATCCTAATAACCAAATACAAATAGTCAAATCATAATAGCCAAATACAAATAGCCAAATAGTCCCCTGCCATCTAGCGACTGTGACGAGGCAACACTTTACTACCAACGAAAAAAACAAAACAAAAAAAAAAAAAAACAGAAAGAGGCGGAGCTCCCGAGACGAGGCGAAGTGGAGAGGGCGGAGCCAAAAACTGGTACATATATATACGTGTTGCTGAGCCAAAAATTCCTTCATTTTACCCCAGTGTTCGCTCTATAAGACACGAAATTGTATCATTCCGGGGATAATCTAAAGAATTCAGCATGGTGAGTTACTTCTTGAATCCAATATGAGAGGACAAGGATATCTAAGACAGCGTGGATAACAGTGGATGTTAATGGTGATGATAATGATGATAATGATCTTAACATTCTGTGAGTGTTTTTTTTTATAATTTATTTCATAGGGTATTGTTATCATTTGTTAGGACATCTTAACATTCTGTGAGTGT